AAAACAAAGCAGTGCTTTGGCCCCTGTCCACAAGATGGAAGATCTGATTTCTAGACCAGACACCAGTTTGGTATTTGGAATCTGCCACTTTCTAGGAAAGCCTGAGAAAGAGCACCTCTCCATACCTGCTGGTAAATCCAGGTCTCCTGCCATGAGAAATGCAAGGTGCGCTGGATCAAAGAGACGGTGAGGAAAGGGCAGTCAATCTTGATCTGGTTTCATATCCCTGCTTGGTGGGTCTGCAGCAAGACACTTCTGCTGCTTTCTCACCACACCCCAAAAAACAGGGTTTCACATCCATTGTGCCTCATCCACAACCCTTTTTACTTGGGCATCTCCAGGTGCCCTGCCATTTTCCAGGGTTTTCTCTCCATAAGGTCTCAATACATGAGAGCATGTAGGCACTCCATTTTAGGTGTAAGAAATGTAATTATTTATTTATCTAACAGTGTGAACATAACACAACAACATTAGAAATGCTAGACCTTCCTACCCCAATATTGTGGCTATAATGCAAGTCAAGAGCAGATGTCCAGGGAAGAGTGTAAATATAGAGCAGGCACACAGCAAATCTTCCTTCGTGGACTACCCCATCTTCCAGTGATTTGTGCTCAGGCTTTTCCTGAGCCAGAGCTTGTGTCTTTGTCCTGGAAGACGATCTGTTTTGCGTGTCTTGAAGGTGAGAAATATACACATGCTGACTGCGGTTTGTCGTGCAAGTGGTGAGTCTCACGGAACAAGAAGCCTCAGAGTGCTGCCAAATACACATTGAGCTGTTGAAGCAAAACACAACCAGGACCTTATGTAACACCATTATGTTGGTGAGCCCTAGCGGAACAGGACAGGTCACAGAAAGGTGAGAACAGCTACTTTGGACAGGCTTAGCTCAACTGAAAGCTACAGGGCAGCTAAGAAACCTAATGTGAAACCTAATGCACTGAAACAGCTTGTCTCTCACAAACGCGTTCTTGGACGACGCTCGTCCTTGGCATCACGGCTACGTTTGACCTTTTGTAAATGCTTGGACATTGCTGGATGTGATAAATCTCTTAAGTTCTGCTGTTCCAACCAGTGTTTCTATCAGTAAAATTGCTCATCACAAATATTAGCAGAAAATGAACCCCGGTGTACATTTTTTTCAGCTGTGTAATTATTATTATTTTTTATTTGAACGGATATCTAAGATGCAGCTTAGACTGCTCCAGTCCTGCAGCTGTTTGGGACAACAACAAAGTGCTCACAGGTAACCAGCTGTCTCTTTAGATAAAGCAGGACAGTTCTGAATGCTATATTTCAGAGATGTGGGGATACATCCATCACAGCCCAGCCACCACAGAAGAGGACAGAACTGGGAATCTTCAGGGCTGAGCCAAGTATCAAAACAGCAAACTCTAAAGGCCTGAGAAGAAGACAAAAATGTGCATTCAGTTACAGAGAGGCAATGTCTCAGGGAGAAATTTCATAAATTGCCTGCTGAGTGCTGCTTTCTGATCTTCAGTTTGAGGAAGAAACCTCTCTGCAGAGCTGAGCATAGACAAGTGAAGCTCAGAACTGGGGCTGGATGCAGCGGCCAGGGCCAGAAGACTCTTCCCTGGACAGGGCAGAGACCCAGGAGAAGGTGAGGGAGGGGAGCAAACAGGTGCCCTCCTTTCCTCCTTCTTGATATAGGGCTGGAACATAGACCATTACCACTAGGAAGGATCCAGGCAACTGAGCTGACAGGCCAGACCTTCAGGAGAGGCATTCAGCATCTGCTTTTTCTTTACAAGTGTGAATTCATGCTTGTAGATGCACTTTGTCAGCTGAGGCTTTGCACCTGGCAGCTGATAGTCATTTAAGGGTGAAGGTCTCTTCAGCTCAGCCTCAGCCCCGTGGCTCAGGCCTTACACCAAAAGCAAAGAAAACAAAGCATGCACCATGCAAGCGACTTAAAAACTCACAAGCATCTCTTTCCTGAGGCTAACTCACGGGTGCTAAGCACGGGAAGCAGACCTGGAGCAGAGTGGGAAGGGAGGAGGCAAAGGAAGGAGGCAAGAGAAAGAAACATTTGGAACTATGTGTCTACAGAATAACTCTTCTACCACTTCCTTCCTGCCGAGCACCATCACTGGCTGCTTGATGAGACAGGTACCTTTGGGGGAAACATGCCTTCTCACAACGACCAGCAAGCAGCAGGCGTAGGCAGCGCAGAAAGGAGACTATTCAGACAAACATAGGGTCAAGAGAACTATGCAAAGCCCAGGGGGAGGCGAGGAGAGTGCACCTTCAACCACTCTTGAAGGTTTTTTTGTTAAGGCTGGTGGGGAAGACAGCCGCTGAGTAACCAGGATGGCATGCGACTGTGCTGTGTGTGTGTGTGTGTCCCCCTTCGCCACAGCCTGAGGGCTGTTGCCATCTGCCTCACACACGAGTAGTATTCACCTGCTGTGCTTTACCTTAGGAGGGGAGGTCTCCAAGACTGCTCTGTGGTGTGCAGGTGTACAGCAGCTCTCACGTTGGTCAGACGTGTCTGAGTCGAGGACAAGCTCTCTTATGCCACATCCCAGGTGAGGTCTGGGCAGAGGACTGCTGCTGACCTTGAAATCAAGCACCCTTTTTATCCCCTCTACACAGCAGTTTGGTAGGTGGCCCAGAGAAGACCCCACCTCATTCACCAAGCATGGCAGATGCCTAGAGGCAGCAAAAAACTCAAGTCACCTCCAGCCCTTATCGCAACCATCATTTTTCTAAGTTAACACCAGCTATCAGTACACTTTCACTGCTAGGGAAGAAGGGAAGTAATTTCACAGCCTCTTACGCAGAAACCTTGAGGCAGCCCTTCTGAGTGCTGCGCCGTCTTCCCTATATGGTAGTGAGGATCTTCTTCTCCAGTCATTCTTAAGATGGGACATTTGAAACTAAAGGAAACTTCATATCGCCCTTGAGAGGGCTTCAACATACTCACCGGACTCCAGTCTGACTCTCAAACATAGAGGGATGTGGCCCCTTGGCAAGATGCTTTGGCCCAACTAGCAGCCTGCTAACCCTCGACTGTGTTTCAGCACACGAGCAGAGCATGGTTTGCTGCAGGGGGAAGTGGAAGGTAGTTGCAGAGCACAGTCGCACCCTCCACTGTACCTCTTACACACACACAGCACTTTCTCAGTTCCTCTGTTTGTGGAGGCCCCTTTCAAATGTCCTCACCCCAGGGAACAGCTTACTCTGCTGCTGGTGCTGGGGGCGGCAGGTACCACTTGCTTCTGCCCCATCTGCTCACTTGCCAGGATGTCTTCACTCAGAAGCTGCTGTCATTTAGCAGGCTCTGACTACATGAGGTACTTGATGGAAGTGAACACCTCTGAATACGGGCCAGGAGATCCTCACTTGGTGTTTATGGCTGTGGCTAGCCCTGCGTTGCTGCGAGGGTCTTGCAGCCTAGGGCAACCTGTGTCCACTTTCTCATTCCATTCTTATCATCTGGTAAATAAAGCAAGTCAGGGGACCTGACTGCCCTTCCAGCTCTAGGGATCTTGCATGGCAGGTGCTCTGTTAGGCATTAAGGGTGGAGCTGCTTGTGCCACCCCAGGGACTGCTCTTGCCCACACAGATGGGAATGAATGGCCGCACCAGTTTGTCCACCCTCTCAGAGGTGCAGGAGACAATCCCACCACACTGGGAGCAGACTGCTTCCCCTTGATCTGCTTGAAATGGGCCCAAACAAGCAAGAAATAAATGCTCTGAGGCTACTAAAAGCTACCTTCTCCCCTGCATGAACAGTGTTAAATAAATTGCTCATGCACAGCGTGGACCAAGAAAACTCATGTCCCTCCTAGTATCTATCAACACACCTCCTTGTGGAGTTAGCTGGCTGATCCCTGGAGCCGGTGTCTGCCCCATAAGAGAATGCCCAAAAGATTAGGCCAGACAAGACCTCTTTGTATCAAGGGTGTTATACAGCGGGCATCTTCAACTCATAAATACAGCAAAGTACAATTTTTAAGCGCACACAACATTATTATGGCATACTCCTCTGTTCACTTGAAGAAGACTTCTGCATGGAAATCATCATGTGACTTTGCAAGAAATGCTTCTCCTAGCACTATTTAACAACAACCAAATGCCAGGTTTGCTCTTGTGTGTGGTCATCTTGGAAAGGTGGTGTTTTTTTGTAACCACTCCTATTCAAAAAGCATTAAATTTCTTTGCCTCCATTTCTTAAACATGTGTATATTCTTCTGTTTGGTTTTGCTTACTTCCTCTAGCTGCCCTTATTTCCTGTTGTTTCCCAGAGACATCAAACAGATGTAGTACGCAGTTTCACTGGCTTACTATGGTGGGTGTTATACTGCATGACATGTTTATGTTCTTCAGCTGCAGTTATTCATTAAGAGGACGGAGAAGAGAAGTATGAATTAGCTAGATCTGAACCACCAAGTTGTAATTCATTGTGGAGGTACTTACCAGTGGCCAGATTCCGGTTCCTGTATGCTAGGTAGTCTCTGACACAACAACTACCACCACCCACTTCAGACAGTTTCCCCATCTGACCAGCCATAAACAATATTTTCTTTTGGAAGTCTGCCTCTGAAAGGTTCGCATTTTTGTTACTCGGTTTGGATTTTTGTTACTCGATTTGGATTAAAATAAAGACCAATTCCCTCAATTTCCTCTGGGAAATGATCTTAGTAATTGATCAGCAGCTTAGTCTTATTTATGAGGCAGCCTGGTTTAGGGAAGGTGCTCAATACCCTGCTTTAGTGAATAGGCATTCTGTAGTCAGGAAATTCCTTGTGAAGAAAGGCACTTCTTCCTGAAAGTAAATCAGATCTGACTCCCAGGGGACACTACAGGAGACCAGCAGGTCTTGGAAAACTTGCCTGTCCTAGATGCTTCCCCAAGACAAGCTTCCTGCTTGTTCCTGTGACATGTCGTGTTGGCATCCATGCCATTTTTAAGTGATGCAAATGCTAACTTCCACCTTGTCTTCTGATTCTCAGGAAACACCAGCCGGAAAAAGAATAATGGAAAATTGTACAGACACAAATAATAGCTCCACTTGCACAGGAATTCCCTACAAAGACAGCAAGACACTTCTTGTTGCTGTTTACAGCATCGTTTTTGCCATAGGCCTTCCAGCAAATTGCTTAACTTCCCTGCTTACATTTGTACAAATCAAAAGGAATAAAGTAGTTGCCATCTACATTTTCAGTTTATCACTGTGTGAGCTGATGTATTTAAGTACCTTGCCTCTCTGGATTATCTACGTGCAAAATGAGCACCAGTGGAATATGGGTGTGAATGCTTGCAGAGTAACAGGATTCATCTTTTTCTGCAACATATACATCAGCATTCTGCTTTTGTGCTGCATTTCTGTGGACCGATATGTGGCACTGGTGTATGCTCTGGAGTCAAGGGGGAGAAGAGGACAGAAAAAGGCAATCATAATAGTGTGTTTTCTCTTTGCTGTGGTTGCAATAATCCACACTCCAGTATTTTACATGGAAGATTATACAGAAGATACAAATAAGAAGACCTGCTTTGAGACTTTGCCCCTTGATATCAAATTGGCTTCTTTTGGCTTTGCCAGATTCCTATTTGGATTTGCCATACCTTTCACAATCCTCATTTTCACAAACTACAAAATTTTCCAAAGCACAAAAACAAGCAGCAGCTTGGCTCGTCACCAAAAAGCCAAAGTGAAGTATCTGGCTGTCGCTATTATTGTCATTTTCCTAATCTGCTTTGCTCCCTACCATGTGGTACTCATAATAAGATCCGTATACTTTGTGTTTCATCAGAATTGCTCATGTCCATTTGAAAAAGAAATATATTCAATTTTTACGGTGTTTCTGTGTTTCGCCACTACAAACAGCATTGCCGATCCAATCATCTATGTGCTGGTTAGTGAAAACGTCAGAAAAGATTTTTATAGGAGTCTCAGAAGATGGAGACTGAACTCAGCCAGGCTGAATTCATCCATTAATCACAAGACTGAGAGTATAAAATTGAAAATGTCAAAAGAATCACAGGAAGGAGGGCTAAGAGAAGAAAACAAAGAAATACCAGATTCATCTGATATTCAACAGATCTGTAATAGTGGCAAAGACCAAGAAGGTAGTAGCTAGCAGTTAGCTGCTGACGCAAATAAGAGGTTCCCAACACCAGCTGTGGGCTGCAGACTGCAGCACACAAGTATTTACATGCCAATGTCCACAGGAAGTTTTGTCATAGTGCATGGGCCAGCAACTCGAGGATGATACAAGAAAGTTTGTCCACCAGTATCATGGGTGAAAATATTGCTGTGCTAAGGACATGTGGAATAAACTAAGAAATTTACTTTGACTCAAATTGAAATCTTAAAAGCTTATTTTTTTGGCCTGGCTCTTTTCCTCTGAGATGAAAAAAAAACCCAATCCCTGCTGAGAAGAACAATGTAGGGCCCATTCTTAATGGTTGGAATTTTTAGTTCTTGAGGAGGTAAATGTTCAGGTTCTCATACACGTACTCTGTTGTTAACGTTTGTGGTTAACCAGTGGAAAATATTAAAAATGAGGAAGTCTTTCAACAAGAGCCTTGAAAATGTTCCTAATACTTCAGTACGCAGCTTTATCTACCTTGTACATTCTGTGGAGAATTAAAGAGCAAAACAGTGGCCTGGTAACACAGACCAACAGTACTTCTGCTGTGTTAGTCAAGATTCTGCACGGTCCTGAAATTCTTAAAAAGTACAATTCTAGTGCTTGATATTTTACGTAAGTAGATTTTACTTATTTTGCAGTTAAATCTGGAATGCACTGAAGTATATAGAAAAATTCTACATTTCCAAGTGGTGTCATGGACTGGTTTTATGCCATCTGCAAATGTTTGTTGAACTTTTGTTTCATTTCTGACTAAGCTAACACTTCCCTTTTGGTATTGATCCAACTTCCAGTGTGTAGGACTCTACACAAGTGTTAGGTGCCTCACTGACAAGGAAGGACTGGCAGCATGGAGAACACAGTCCCTTCTCCCCATAGATGGGAACTCCCTTGGAATGCTGGCGGTGCACACATGAGTCTATGCTGGGGCAGATTTAATCTTTGCTACTGCCACTTTCCCCATGAATAAATTATTGATGGTAGTTTCCTGTGCCTTCAAACCGGAAGTGGGAAAAAAAAAAATTATACAAATCTGTCAAGATTTATCCGAACAGCTTCTTCATATTTTTATGTGACCAAAGTAAACCAGACAAAAATCATGAGTCGGTTGGATGTTTATTTGAGTACAAGTTTGTAAAGTGTTTCAGAGAGTCATTCTGCTTCATCTGTAATGTTGTATTTCTGTAATATTTTTAAATTGTCATTAATGTTGACATTTCTGAATAGAACTAACATAAGCCAATGTTAATGTAAATACTTGTTAAGGTTTTAAAATTGTCATAGGTATTTCTGTATATTATGATTTATTCTTACACATTTTGCAAAGAAGCATTGTGCCAAAATGGCATTTCCTCAAGTTATTGTATTTATGACATATTTAATTTTTGTATTATTTAATGACTTTTCCTATGAAAGGCTTGTGTCCTTAAAAGTAGTTCACATAATATTGAGCTGAACAGGAGACTGTTTCTTGGAAAAGTGTGAAATTCTGTTGTGATGCTAACTAACGAACTGTGGTTTTGCATTTTCACATGCATCCCAGAGGTCAAACTCTCTAAGGTATTAAGGAGAGATCTGCAAAGTACCGGATATCTGTAACTTTGCTGAAAATCAAAGTTTCCATTACTAAAAAAATCAGCAGCAGGCGTTGCTTGTAACAGCCCAGTCAGCCAGAGCATTGGTGATTAATCTCTGAAGACGCATATGCAAACTGCCCCAACCTCAAGATTTTCATTGACTGAAAACTCTGATGAACAATTGCAGTGAATTTAGAAGAAACCAAAGATACGGACTTCTAAACTAATTTAAATGGATGCAAATTAGATATTCACCTTGATGAATTTCAAAATCTCTCTGATGGTTTTCCTCTGATAAAACATGACTGTCTTTAGAGCAACCAGTCTTGGAGCCCAGTGCCACAGGTGCAGGGGACAGGGATTAGCAGGGTCTGATGCAACATCTGTAATTCTTTTGCCTTGCCTAATTTACGTATTGTTCTAAATGATTGTCTCATCATGTATCTTCTCTTAAGGAAAATCCTTGGAGCTTCTTGGCTCAGATGCACTCTTAAATAAAAGCCTTTGGGGTGACAATGACCCATATGTCTTGATCCAACTGTGAAGTTAATTTCTGACTATGAACTACAGCTGGCCAAACTAGTTTTTGCAGACTAGTTTTTGTTTGTTTATTCATCAATTTGAAGTTATTTCTAAAGACTGTATTTTTAAAGAAACTGTTGGGGGAAACTCACTTATAAAACTCTATTCCTGTCTAAGAAATGCTTTCATGTTCAGCATTCAATTTTGCTTCAAGAGGGTAGTTGTATCAAACAGGTAAAAACAGATACAAATGAACTCAAACTCTCTATGTGTGACGAATTTGCAGTTGGTGACTCTGTAGCTGCTCTGATCTAGTCCCTGCTATCATGTACAACCCAATGTCAAATTTCTATTGGCTAGTGAGTGACAAAACCTAACCCAGAACCAGGCTTTCAAAAACTTCCACAATCTAACAGCTTTTCTTCATGAGAATATTGTCATCCTATAGGTCACACTGTGCGATAAGTCTTTTAGGAAACAACTTCTACATAGTGAAATGATGCCAAAGTTGCCTCACAGGTTGGAATACCTGTCGTATTGTCAAACCAGCACAAACTAAAGGTAGCAAAAAATGGTGGGGGAATTGCAGCAGACAGATTCAATAATTTTGATCACTCTTTGGTATGCAGGGGCTGCATACAGGTGGCAGCATCCCCAAAGCTGGATCTCCCAGCATGTATCCTGCTACTAGTGTCTAGAGACGAGGACGTGATACCTCCATCTCTTCTAGTGCCTCCTGGAGTGGATTGTACCCCGCTGCACTTTTACCCCTGCACAATTAACCTTTGCACAGGAGAGGGCGCTTCTGATACTCTGTGTGCACCAGGGATCAGCACGGCCTCACAATGCAGTCTTCAAGTGAAAGGAACGTGAACAATAAAAAGAGAAATCTGTTATCCCAAATTAGACTAATACTAATATCCTGGTGATAGATGTTAGTTGCTGCCATCATGAGCAGCAACTGGTAAGACAGCGTAGGACTCTAAACTCATTATGTCTCATCGCTGTGATTCAGATAACTGATGACTTCTAGGGTTTTACTCTCTTACTCCATCCTGTTAGAAATGCTCAGAGATAATGAAGCAAAAACCAGCCTTGCAGAAAGATGGAAAGTCTGCTCAGGAGAGGTGATAAGCTATGCGGTAAGGATTTCACAAAACATTACATGAATATCACCGACATGAGCAACCTTAAAATACACCTTCTCAGTACGCCATGAAATGATCCATCCTGTTTGGCAGCCTGAGTCTGTGATAGGGCCCATACCTTTCAGCCCATGATCACAGAGCGTGCCCTGTATGTTCACAGGTCTGTCCTGAAATATTTTCTTGAGGGAGGCAAAGAATCAAAGAGAAGAGAAATACTATGGGAAAAGGGTGTTCTACGATATACAAAATCCTGAAAAGCCTTGTAAAAACCTAAAGTCACAGCTGTTCTGAACAAGTATGCAAATACCCGACTGTTCAGAAAGCTACTTAGAAATGCATCAGCCTTTATCACAGTTCCCCATCTGTAAAATGGGACACTTCTTCCCTTGAGCATCGTCTGTCTTGGTTTAAAATACAAGCCCTTGCAGGAGATACTAGAAAGAGTGAGCGGGTGTGGCGTATGCATATTCAGAGTTTACTGCAATGGGGCAGCGAACAGCACAGAGGCAAATATAGGGTACTAAAGCACAAATTCTAATGACTCAGCACTTTCAGGATCAGATTCAAAACACTTTCTTTGCTTCTATTTATGCTAGGGCATCAGGAAAAAAAACACAAGCAAATAAACAAACAACAAAACACACGCAGATTTTCGCTTTAATTTGGGTCTCCTTCTGGTAACATTGGTACTAGACCGTTGGGGACTTCACTGGGATTTTTCCTCACTGGGATATTTTGGTGTTTGGAGGCATTTTGTTGCTTCCAAAAGGTAAGAGTAATATCGATCCACAGAGTTGACTTCCAGACTGGAAACACTCAGGGGCAAGCACTCACAAGGCTCATAGTACCTCTCCAGGTACAGGACTGAAACCAATCAGTAACGCTAATAGCATTTGCTGTTGCAACTTCTGTACACTGTAGGCCACCAGTAATAATCTTTACGATCCTTAGTGCTTTGAGATCTATCCATGTGGATGCTGCCTCTCAAGCTTTTCCCTTCCTGGCATTATTTTTGTAGGTTGAGAAGCATTTTCTTAGCACCAGATTTCTGGAATTGGTCTCTGACCGTGTGAGCTTTGGGGCAACAGCACTATTGCTTACCTATTTGATTAATTTAGGGGGGCTTTTTGCCTTTCTTAAATATAGTTGAGGAGACTAGGTTCACAGTACCCACTACAGGTAGTTTTTATTATTGTATGTTTGACGTTTATACTGACTTGACAATAAAAAAAAAGGACATTTGATAAGGTATTAGAAAAAGCCCTGTCATTTTCCATTTTTCTGCATGCACGGTTCCTGTTTACCTCTAATTCTTTTGCTCAAATATTTCCTAAAATAAGGCTTATGAAAATGAACAGCCTGTAGCCCTCAGTGGAAATGTGCACTTAACTGCACCACTTGCAGTAACAGCTGTGTCCCAAAGACAACACACGCACAAGCCTCAAACTAAACTCGGGACCAGATGCAAAAGGGAAGAAAAATGTACATTAAATAACAAGGGAGCTCAGGAGTATGACTGACTTCTTGCTTTCTTGACTGTTACTGTGGAAATGGCCTGTCAACAAAAGGCAGGAGATTCTAGCCAGGCCAAGTGCAAATCTGAAGTTTCTGTCAGAAACAAGAAAAAGGGGTCGAATGGGGAACTTCCTTTGTACACCGGGTGTGAAGCCAATACAGACAGACTGTAACGTAATAATAGAAAAGATTCAACGGGAAGCGAAAGGTCAGCAGGTAACTTCAG